GGGGGGAGATATGCTTCTTATTTGTATTTTCATTTGGATCTTTTTATTAATGTAGCAATCTCCCCTTAAATAATAAAATGCGACTTATGCAGCTTTATGTGATTTGGGTGCACTATGAAAGAGTGATAGTGATCTCTATATTATTTGTTTCATCTTTTTGGTATGCTTGTCAGTTCATTGTACTTCTCAGCTAGGAATTCCTTAAATATTAACATCTAATCAGTTACTCTATTATGGTTTCTTCATATGCAGGCTGTTCAAGTGCTTCTGGCATCTCGAGAACGTCTAAATCAAGAAAAATCTAATGTTAATGCTGATATAACTATGAACAGTGCAACTAACACAAGAACAGAGATCGATCTCGTTCAAGTAAGTTCCGTTCCTATTGTGTTAGTTGCTAATTTAAACATAACCATGTAATGTATTTATTGACAAATTTCGCTCTTTGAAAAGTCGAAATCAACATAAAAGATGGATATGTTATTGCAGCATATAGTCTTATTATCTATGCCTTGCCGTTGAAGTTGTGTTCTTTGACGCCAATCCATATTCCTTTGATGGCATCCGTGGAATTTCTAACTTGATGTCCAAAGAAATATTTTATTGTTCATTTTTGCACAAACAGAATTGACAATTTAATATGGTTTAAAATATATTCAAGATTATGTTTTCAGGTTGATTTGCTTCTTGGAAAAGCCTATTCAGATTGGGGTAAAATCAGTGATGCTGTATCGGTCTATGATCAGCTTATCTCTAGCCACCCTAATGATTTCCGGGGTTACTTAGCAAAGGTGTGTTCTGTGATTCTTCTCTCATATGTCATTCATGGTTTATCTATACTTTTCCTTTGAGAATTCCTAAATTATGTTGCTATTGTACTGAAGAACTCCCCTTCGAAATACAGAGCACCTACTTCAATAAAAGTTTTGCTGATGCCATAAGAGAACAAGTAGAACTTGAGAAAACACTGTTTGTCACTCAACTTATAGTGAAGTTTTATGTTGGTTACTGGACTTCTATTTGTTCTAAAGTAGTCACAAAATTTGCTTTTTGTTTCAGTTTGGTCACTTTGTGGAAATCCTTAGTTTTAAGAAAATATATGACATTATTTAAGCAATGCAATGCGTGAAAAAGGTTTGTCAGTAATGGAAACCACATGAAATAGCTACCTGTAAGCTTAATCTGCTCCTTTCCTTGAACGCTGCGCTTCTCTTTCCTTATCTGGCCCGATCTGAAGTTTTGGGCTATTGTTTAAGGTGGAGAAAGTACTAAACATCGCTATTATTTTTTTCGCAGGGGATTATCTTAAAAGAAAATGGAAATATTGGCGATGCAGAGAGAATGTTTATACAGGTAAAAAGTCTTTTCTTTCATGTCTATTTGCATTATAATAATCACAGTGCAACTTAAAAAAATTCTAAGATTGTGTGCACATAGAGAAAAGACTAATCTCTTCTTTGAAAACATATGTGAATATTGGAGGGTTCAGGTTTGTATCTTCAGTACAATTTTCTCAAGTAAACTATCCTATTCCTCTCGGTTTTTTTGTGAAAACTCGTGGTAGTTTTGTAGAGGTCGTACTATGCTATATCAAGATTATGCAAATTCGAGGATTTAACCCTCTTTCCGGCCCTGGAGATGTTCTTCATGGCCGGGGGTTGTCTGTGTCAATTCCCAAATCTGGAGTGAATGAATTTATAGTTCACGTGACCATCAGAACTAGATGGTTGAATTGCAAGTGTCTCTGTGTCAATCGTGTCATGAAAGGGGATAATAATTTTCTTAAATTTTCTTTCGCCTAAGCACTCGATGCAATGAGAAAATTACATTGGTAGATTTTTCATTCAGACCAACATGTTAAATAGTAATTGTGTTCAAAATCCATGTATTTCGTTGACTATGGTATACGCGCACTTTTGTTCATTCAGCATTAAATGTTAAGTATTTTGAAAATGTATCGATTGGGCAATTAACATTTTGTGGTTGTGGGCAGGCACGATTTTTTGCACCAGAAAACGCAAAGATACTCGTGGATAAATATTCACGATAACTACTAATTGTATTGATGTGTGTATTTGTAGCCGTTGAATAATATATAATGCTGATATAATATATAAGTGATTTTTTCTATATAAACTTGTGTAAGACATACTTTTCAATGGACTAAATTGTGTTGATGTGCAACACTTAGGACACGATTAGAACGTTGTATTAGATGGATTAGATATACTTTTCTGTTTTATTTTCTTATTTAGTTCTGTCTAGTTGTTGGTTTAACCTATGTTACCAAATTTGTCATTAATGTTTAGCTAAATTGTCAATAGCCTTCAACTGGTTTCTTGTGGGTTGGATGTATCTGTTCGTATTTTTTTCAGGCCCTCTAGATTGGGCCAAAAATATAACTAACTAAAACATGGCTGCAAAAAGCTTAAATATGGTCCAAAAGACAGCAAGAGTTTGCAGGGAAAATTACACTAAACCAGGTTGTCTCTTCTCTCCCATTTCTCCCCTCTCCCTCTGTTGCGAACTCCCCCTCACTCTCCCTCTGCTGCGAATCACTGCAGCGTTACTGCGACTGCAGCAACGAGCTCCCTGCTGCGACCCAGCGAGTAGTCCAGCAGCGCTGCTCGCTGTTGGGTCGTAACAGTGAGCTCGTTGGGTCGCGACAACGAGGACTACTGGCTGGGTCGTAGCAGCGCCCAGCAGAATCGCAGTGCCCAGTCGTTGCACACCCACATCAGTGTCGCTGTGCAACGACTGGGCTGGGTCGTAGCAGCGCCCAGTCGTTGCACACCCACATCAGTGTCGCTGCTGCGATTCACACCCTAATTTTTTTTTTTACTTTTTCAGTGTGTTGATTTTTGGAAAAAAAATGATGAAAATCTCTACAAGTGGATGTTGCAGGTCAAGGATTTTTTAAAAATGGTGGATGTTGCAAGTGGACATTACAGTGAATTGGGTGTGGCTCGGTGGTATTTTGGTTTTTTTTTTTGTTTTTTTTAGTGGTGCGATGGCGTAGTAGTGGGTGTGTGGTGGAGGTGATGCGGAGGTTTGTGGGTGCGGTGGATCTGGTGGCAGTCGTCGCGAAGAGGGGTCTGGTTTTGAAAAATGTCACAGATTGGTGATGGTGATGGTGATCCGTGTGGTAGTGTGATAGTTGTTGTTTTTTGTTATTGTTGTGGCGGGTCAACGGCGGTGGTGGTTCTTTTTGGTGTCTGTGACCTAACTGTTGTGGTTCTTTTGTTGTCTGTGACCTAGCTATTGAACTGTGACTTTAAAATTGATAATTTGTAACTAAAAAAAGAATCTGTGACCTATAATTTTTTTGATATGTGACCTCAAAATAATCTGTGACCTATAAAATTTTAGATCTGTGATCTCGAAATAATCCGTTTGAACTGTGACTTTAAAATTGATAATTTGTAACTAAAAAAAGAATCTGTGACCTATAATTTTTTTGATATGTGACCTCAAAATAATCTGTGACCTATAAAATTTTAGATCTGTGATCTCAAAATAATCCGTGACCTGCAAATTTTTTGATCTGTGACTTGGAAATAATTCGTGAAGTACAAAATTTTTTATCTGTGACCTCAAAATTATTCGTGACCTACAAAAAAATTTATCTGTGACCTCGAAAAAAGTCGCCGGAGTGGTTGCCGATCACTGGAGTAGTCGTCAGAGCAGAGGTGGCGGTGGAGTGGGTTAATTATATTATATTACAGTTTAATATTTAATTTAATATAATAATTGTGAAATATAATTAATTAATTTATGAAAAATCTAATTTTTGCAATTCTAAATCTTGGGGCCTGATTTTTGATTTTGGAATAGATAAAGTCTGAGTTGTGAATTTTTCTCGAGTTTGCAACCCAAAGGCCCAAAAGAAATTCTAAATGTCCACACAAATTTCCACGAACAAGAAGCCCAGCACGAATCCATTACCAAATAACTGAAAAAAAAAAAAAAAAGGCTTGGCCCAAACAGATGAGGATTTTTATTTTTTTACATTTTAAATTCACTATTTGAAAGTATACTGACGTTTTGATGTTTAGCTTAAGTGGTAATAGTAAAATTTTACCAAGTCATTGACGTGAGTTCGAGACCCCTTTGGGAGGAAATGGAAAAGTTCATAGGTCATAATGGTCGTAAGGTTATTTAGATTTTTGACTTGCTCAACACGAGTCTAGGCTAAGGAGCATTTTTTCTATGTTATAAGCTAGTCAAAGATATTTTTCATTTTCATAGTTCGCATGATCTACATTTTTATTCACAAATTTCGTAACACCCATTACTTATAATCTATAAAATCTTGACCAAACATGCACTTTTTATCACTTAAAGTTTGCATAGATAGTAGAAAGCTAAAAATAAATAGATGAAAAGGTTACTACCATATGTTAAGTCAATCATGTTTGTTTTGTTGTTGTCCGGTAGCTTTATTCATGGATGGTCCTTCACAAAATGAATGTCGAGTGCATGTTTGGTGTAAGATATAAAATTGGATAATAATTGATAGGAGACCATTCATCAAGCAAGGACTTTAGCGTTCCATCCCTATAGGCGAAAAATAGTTACAGCATTAGAAACGAGAGCTAGCTAGTTTTCATGTATTTTTATTGGAACGCTTATGCCATGAATATATTTATGTCAACTTCTAGATTTTCAAGGTTCACATAGGTAGTCTAGATTCGTACGATGTTAATGCATGTCTTTTTGTTATATTTTTCTTCACTTTGCATCTCCTTTGCTTTGTGGTTCTATGCTTTTCTTGTCCTAATGAACTTTAGGAGCCAGAGAAATTCGTTCTTTCATGTAAAGTAATTTTTCACTGTTCTTGCTTTTAAAAGGAAAAATTGCACTATTGACCCTCAACTTATTGTCCGAGTAACAAATTGGTCTCTAACCTTTAAAAAAAAACGAATTAGTTTAACTTTTCATTGCAGTTGTGCAATAAGTCTCCAATTTATATGAGAGTCACATGACGATTTTGTTTCTCAATTTATGTCGATGGCAAAAAAATGGAGGGAAGTCATATTTACACGAGGGTCACATGACGATTTAACGGAGATTTAAATAGTTTTCGCCATTGGGGACTAACTTGCTTCCTTTTATATGGTGAAGACTATTTTGCTATTCCAACAATATGTTGAGATCAATAGTGCAATTTTCCTTTTTATAAAATCTTAACTTCGATCAGTTTAAATTAAACAATTAATAGTGTGAAAATAATATGTACGAGCACTCAATAGTTTAGCTATTTTTTTTATATCAAATTGCAATAATGGGGCTAGATTCCAAAGCCTAGTTGTTTGCTCCGGAGAACATTGAACCAGCATGTTTATAAGTACCATACCATTTATAGTGAAAAATTAGTTTTTCTTATTGTGGCCGATGGTTAGGTTCCATCGGTTTCCTCCCCAAATTACGATGAGTATATCGACTCGAGTGCCAATTCCTCTACGTCTTCGACAAGATCGCGAGCCCGTGTATGTAAACGCAAAACAATATCGAGCGATATTGAGGCGCAGACAATACCGTGCCAAGCTCGAGTCTCTCGACAAACTGTCGAGAGTTAGGAAGGTTTGTTTTGAATTTCTCTGTGGCCCATAGTGCAACTACGACTAGTGCATACCTTGAAACCACCAATCAAGGTTTGTACACATGAATGTTGAGATTTCCTAACTTTTGTAACATTATATTGTAGCCTTATCTGCATGAATCTCGCCATCGTCATGCTTTAAATAGGGCTAGAGGATCAGGTGGACGCTTTCTGAGTACGAGGAAACTCCAAGAATCTAAACCCAATGCTACAACTGGTGGACAAGACATCCCATTTGTGACTCGCCTCCAAATGACCATAAAAACTAGGAAATGTGAAGTTCGTCGTCACGAAGTTTACGAGGATGCTAATTCCACCAAATATAAAAGTTCATCCAACAATGATGATTTTCTCAGGCAACAAGAATTCCAGTTATTTTCACTGCAAGAGGGTGGAGGTAGCATTCAATACTATTTTCACTGTACCTAAGTGAGATCTTGAGATCCCATTAGAGCCACTTGGGTATGTAATGATAATCCAAACAAGCCAATTGTCCACATTTTGATATTGTTGCCGGTAAGAAGGGAAGTCATCCTTGGCTTTATTAGTTAGTGTTGTAATGGTATGCATATTGTCTAATATTTGGATCTTTAATAAAATTATGAGTGGAAGATAATACTTTTTAATAGTATTAAAACTATTAATCGTCACGAGTTCTAGTTTTGTCATCATTCAATAGAGCATTCGAAACAACAAAAGTGCCAACATCTTTGATACTCCATATTGATATAAACACACATATACTTTCAATACAATGATTAGAAAGAAGAGTTAACATGGAGAAGCACCGTATCGAGTTTTCAAACTTGCTTTTGATTAAATTCACTTAAATGATATCTATACTTAACTACCATTATATTTTCTTACCGATTGTGGTTTCATCTGCAATCTAATTTATCCAATCCAATTAAAAAAAAAAGAAAGAGGAATGGGCTGCTTTGGCACAATCTCAAAACAAACAAATATATGGGCTGGATTCTTCAGGCCCAATCTCAAAACAAATTTTTTCAAAAAATAAATACAGCAGGCCCTTAGCCCACTTTGAAAAAAAAAAAAAAAACTTGGAGAAGACGAACCAGAGCAGAGGCAGAAATCAGACAGAGACGGACCATTGTCCACGGTACAGGAGGCGCTCCAGCAGATCCCAGCACGGGCGGCCGCCCCCCGTCGCCAGGTGCTGGGTCCGTTAGTGCTTGAGATCCCATTAGAGCCACTTGGGTATGTAATAATAATCTACGTTTCCAAACAAGCCAATTGTCCACATTTTGATATTGTTGCCGGTAAGGAGGGAAGTCGTCCTTGGCTTTATTAGTTAGTGTTGTAATGGTATGCATATTGTCTAATATTTGGATCTTTAATAAAATTATGAGTGGAAGATAATACTTTTTAATAGTATTAGAACTATTAATCATCACGAGTTCTAGTTTTGTCATCATTCAATAGAGCATTCGAAACAACAAAAGATATACGACTCCAGTGCCAACATCTTTGATACTCCATATTGATATAAACACACATATACTTTCAATACAATGATTAGAAGAGTTAACATGGAGAAGCACCGTATGGAGTTTTCAAACTTGCTTTTGATTAAATTCATTTAAATGATATCTATACTTAACTACCATTATATTTTCTTACGGATTGTGGTTTCATCTGCAATCTAAACTAACAAAATACCCTAAGTTGTTGCTCAACATGTACAATTGACACAACAAAAGATATGCGAGCCCTCAATGCCACCATAATTGATATTTCATATTGATATGTATACACATATACTTACAATACAGTGATTAGAAGAATTAACGTGGATAAAAACTGCATTATTGAGTGTTTTAAGTTTGTTTTCGAATAAATTCATTCAATAACCATACTCAATTTTTAGTTTTATCTCCTTTATTTATTGTCACTCCATTTTCAATCTAAACAAATGAAATATCCTAATTTTAAGTTCTAATCGACACATCAAAGAATATACGAGCACATACCATCATATTTGACACACGTATACATAAATACATACTTAGATTTTGTGGTCGGTCCGTGGACTCTAGATGCCAAAAACCCCCCCTCGAAGTGATCTCATAACTCCTACTACGAAAATAATGGGATCTATCCAAGAATTTTCCTTCCCTTTTATGTATACATACAAAATCACACCCCCTACATATTTGCAACTTGGTTGGTGGGTTATCGGACTCATGACCCAACTCTCAAATCCAGTTAAACCAGTCCATCATCCACGATTCAAATCCGCCCATCCCATCAGAGTCTCTCTATAATTCTTTTTCCAGTTCTCCATCTCTCTTATAAAGTTTATCTTCTTTCTCTCACTACCCAACCCCACAATTCCACCTGTTAAAACCCTCATTATCCTTCTCTTCATCTTCTATTTTAAGTTTAATTTGTGCCTTTTTTCGTTTGCTTTTTCCAATTATTCTATTTCTGAAGAATTTTAAAAATGGAGGGAGGACAGTATAATCCTCGTACTGTTGAAGAAGTTTTTGGAGATTTCAAGGGTCGTCGTAATGGCCTTATCAAAGCCCTAACCGCAGGTTTTTACTCCTCCTTTTTGAAGGTTCAGTTTTTTTTTTTTTTCATTATTCTGACGTTGGTTGCTTTTTTTTTTTTTCTCCCTCTGTTGCAGACGTTGAAGACTTTTATCAGCAGTGCGATCCTGGTTAGGGTTTTCTTATTTTTTTATTTTTTTTTCCTGTTTTACTGTTTGAATTCTTTAATTGTCCGTGTCTGTATATTTTTGGACACACTTATCACATTATATGTTTGTTTGTAAGTAATCTCTAGAAAATGGTAATTTTATTGAATGTAGCATAAATTTTTTTATTTGTATTTCATTTTTCCAACAAAATGTCTATTGAGTGTGCATTAAAGGTATATATTTTCTGATCGTCATAGTTTTTGTCTTGATTGCTTTGATTTGATTTTTCTCATTTCTTTGATGAAATTGAAATAATAATATTTCATTTTAGGTTTGTGGAATATAATATGCGTTGGATATGATGTAACATATTAGTTAGGTAATCAAGGATTATTACTCGTGGCACTCCATTGCACTCCTGCCATAGAAGTATACACGATGCGAACGTGTGTTGGTTTTTATCGCTTTATTCGAACTGTCGAAATTGCTCGTGTTGACTGTAATTATAGTTTTTTTTACCTGATTTTGGTTGCATCTTTGTTGTACAACTTCTAATATTCTTTTTTGGAAGTTTTTTATTCTAATAAATGTGAGTTATGGTTGCCACTCCATTACAATTTTGGCAATATGTTTTCTTAAATATTCAGCAAGTGATTTTATGGGGATCTTAGTTTACTGAAATAGAGAGCTACTATTATGATCTTTACCATTTTTTAATTTAATTTTTTATATTTGTAATCAATTGCAAGATGGCGATGAATTGTGATTGGTCTAAACCTTTGACTGGCAACTTATTTCCTGTAATTTCTAGCTTTGATTTGAATTTTCTGTAGACTTTGATGAGTTTTGGGTAAAACAGTTGCGTGCAATGCATTGCGCTTTGGATTTGCATTTATGTGTGCAATCACAGTTTTAGGATTGTTATAATGTCCATGAGAAAAGAAGATTTAGCAGATTAGGTATGCAACCATGTATTATCATACATAGAACCCTATTCACAGTCTTACTTTAAAATGGTACAAACTCGTGGCTATTAACTGTCGTAGTATCAAATTGACCTCTGTCGAGTTAGATGAAATTGCTGGCGTGTCTGCATTGACAATTTATTGACGACTTTTAATATATAATTTGTCTATAACATCTAATATGTTTCTCTATTAGGGTTTTTTTTTATGGTTTAAATATGCCAAATGGCATAAATTATGCGTTCCTTTATTTATTGATTATAGCATAACATGATCAGAGCTTTCCATCTTGTCTTTTGGGAATAGTGACAATAGCAATAAGATGCTGGCAACAATGATTGTTTGGAGTTTTCGTCTGAGGATGATTAACACATTGCTTAATTTTAATCCCCTTTTGCTACGTGACAAACATGCGCATGACAACAAGCACGGTAAAAATCAGACATTCATTTGTTGGCTGCTTTAGACAGCCTGGTTGTGCGCCATAATGGGTGGGCACAACTCTGATATACATTTAATACATGTTAGAAACGGATCCTACATTAACCTCTTCATCTCGAACCAATACATTCTCTTTTGGTGTCATGTTCATTCATCTTTTATCTTGTTCATTCATATTCTGTGGGGTCTGAGTCTCTGAGATATGAATTTCTCTACCTGAAGCATTGTTTTTAGGGTTTTCAGATAAATTCTGGCAATTTTTTATTATCAAATTCTTTTCAAGATAGTGATTTTTTTATGGATATATTTCCATTTTTAAGCGTTTATAGTATCCTTCCCGTTAATATTTCCCATGCCATTGGAAAATACAATGTATTCTTTTGGTGAAAAATCATTAAAACGAGTCTGAAGGTTGAATATATTAATTTTTTTTAAACTTGAGTTTCCATTCTCAGTTTAGTCATTTTCCATTATCTGTTGTACCATTCACATAATTAGATTCCTATAAGGCCCCGCTTGATAGGGCTTTTTTTCCTGGGAAATAGGAAAATATTTTCCACTTTTTTGGCTGTTTGATATGCGAAATTTTTCACGGAAAATATTTTCTAGATTTTCCCCACACGTGTGCATTATCCGGGTTTTTGATGAAAATTTTTTCCCGCCTTTTTTGTGGGAAAGCTGGCTGGAATTATTTTTTTGCAATGGAAAAAATGTCATAACCAATGGTAAAAAAAACTTCATGGACAATTTTCATGTAAAACAAAGTCAAACGAACACTAAACTTTGATAAAAAAAAAATTTTTAGGAAATATTTTTTTTCTTTTTTTTTTTTTTCCTTTTTGGCAATGGAAACAAATTTTATAACCAATTGTGGAAAAAATTATCACTTTAATAGACACTTTCTATGTAAAATAAAACCAAACGAATAGTAAATTTAAAAATTTTCCAGATGGAAAATTATACCAATCAAACACACTTGAAATCATTTTCCCTGCAAAATATTTTCTAGACGATTATTTTCCCTGCAAATCATTTTCTTTCCACCAATTTTCCACCCTTGCAAACAAACGCACCATAAGATATTTTTCCATTGTTTGTGTTCAACGAATGAATATCTGTAAACATGTTGCAAGTTCTATGGCATTCACATTTGCCAACGTATTCGTGCTTGGTGATTTTATTGGGGAATTCATTTTTTCCTCACTGTCTCACAAGTGCTGCTGAATTATGTCTTCATAGTCCTTTCCAATTTGGGAACTATCTTATGTTTTGCAAACACAGTCTTTTTTTCTTTCTTTCCTCCCATGTTAGTTATTATTTTTAAATACATCTAGTATGGATCTATGCTTGTTGTGCTTTACAGAGAAGGAGAATTTGTGCTTGTATGGACTTCCTAATGAGCAGTGGGAGGTCAATTTGCCTGCCGAAGAAGTACCTCCGGAACTCCCCGAGCCTGCTTTAGGGATCAATTTTGCTAGAGATGGGATGCAAGAGAAGGATTGGTTATCTCTTGTTGCTGTCCACAGTGATGCCTGGTTGCTTTCTGTTGCCTACTATTTCGGATCCAGATTTGGTTTTGATAAAGCTGACAGGTATATATTAAATTCAGTCTTTGTTTCAAACATGTTTGGCTACGATTAACAAGTTCACTCATACGTAATTAAGATTTAAAATAAATGATTTTGTTATTTATAAAAATTGTAAATAAGCGAGTTACTTGTTTCGAGAGCAGGGTAAAGCTACTTGTTTTATAATCGGCCGAACTTCTTAACACTGCTAGATTCTCTATGTGCATTATGCTTTGCTCCTCAAATTCAAAATGTTTCCTTGTGTTATACCAAAGATAATTGTGTGGATAGAAATAGTAAGTTTCATAGAATTCTAGTTTTGAAAGAAGAATTGTGGGGGGATGGATAATTTCTTTCTGCGCATTAGAGAATTGCTTCAAAAAAGCAACACAATCATCAAAGCATTCATGGTGCAAATGATTTAATCCCCTCTACATACTGTTTAAGCTTCTTCCTATTACAATTTAATTCCTGTTGAAGTTCATTTTTTTTCCTTAAATCAAATTTCAAATTTTGTTTCCCAGGAAACGGCTTTTCAACATGATCAATGAACTCCCTACAGTATTTGAAGTTGTGACTGGTGCTGCTAAGAAACAACAGAAAGAGAAGTCTTCAGTCTCAAACCACAGTAGCAACAAATCTAAGTCAAACTCTAAGCCTGTGAGTGTATTTCATGTGCAATACATCAATTGCCAGGAAATGATGGTTTTCATATAAATGGGTTCTAATGAGAAGCTGACCAGCATAAATTCATCCTTTCAATGTCATCTGCATTAACAAAAAGTTTTATTATACAAGTTATTTTGACATTTTTAAAAGCTTACTCAAACATGCTCTATATACCTATGTTAGAATTATCCCCATCTCCCTCTCCCTCCTCCTCCTCCTCTCTCTCCCCCGTCATGTTGTTGATATCATCACTCGACATTATTTTATGACAAGCAGCAGGGATTGGAATCTCAGGAAAAATATCCAAAGTCACAGCTGAAGGACGAAGATGAAGGGTTTGACGAGGAAGAAGAAGATGAACATGGGGAAACACTATGTGGCGCCTGTGGAGAAAATTATGCATCCGACGAATTTTGGATCTGCTGTGACATATGTGAGAAGTGGTTCCATGGCAAGTGCGTGAAGATTACCCCTGCTAGGGCCGAGCATATCAAGCATTACAAGTGTCCATCTTGCACGAACAAAAGAGCTCGACCATGATTTAGAATGTGAATCTAAGCTCTTGTACTCCTTAAACTCTGCTAACTGCTGTTGTTGATCAGGCCTCTCTTGTTTTGAAGTGTTTATTTATCTTTAGCATTAACCTGTGAATTCGTGTTCCTTATCAGGGGATGTTACTTCAGTATAGTATTATTTCATTCTAGTTGGCGCAAGTAGAGCCTCGTTTTACTTGGAACTATTATGTTTTCTTTCATTCAGTAGGAATTTCAGCTGTTATGATCTGCAACTTTCTCCCTGTATTAGAAATTTCGTTATTCGGATTATCAAAACTAGTACTTCGTTTTCGTTTGGAATGTTGCTTATGAGATCTCACGAGGTGTTATGATGAATAAATAGGGAGGTATTCAATAGTATAATGATTAAGATTTTAACTTGTCTCTTTTTTATGATATTGACAAAGTCTTGAGAACAATTCAAATGCAGGTAAATTTGGCGGCTCCTCAATTCAATCTTACCAACGGAAGAATTTCAAATTGCTCAAGGATCCAAGAAATTTGTGAATAATTTATTCATATGATAATAGAAAAGGTTGATCATTAAGATAAACCGGATAAACTAATTAATCCCCATTAATATATAAATCTTAAAAGACACTCTAGTCTCAAATCCATTATGCAAGTTGGATATCAACACCCCCACCAATCATCAAATAGAGCAAACCAGACATGATCATTCTAAATAGGTATATAGTAGTGTTAAAGCGTTTTGTACTTGAAACATATTGGATAAATAATGCTATGTATACATAATGAAATTACATACTAGTTTACATACAGATGAGATGTCAAAAAGAAAGGAGAAGGTTTTTTGTTTTTAAATTTGATTGAAGAAATTCTGACTCAATATCTTACCACATCATGCATATATAAGTCCATTATTTACATGTAGCACACTTGTTTTTGGATACCATATCAAGACAAACAAACTAAGCAATCTTTCTCAACTTACTAAATCCTTTTTCACCAAACCCATTCGCTAATTCACCGAACATACTCGACATATGGCTTCAATGTCAAGTACGAAAATTAATAGGGCTAGAGAGGTTCACATATCATATATGGAATACATAATTTGAAATCACTTTTTCATTAATGACTTCACTTGAGCTAACTATCTACCTTGGAGAATCAAGAAAAGCATGTATAACATGTTGAGAGAAAGATTACATACAACTCTGAACAAGATTGAAGGAAAAGTCAAATAAACAAGAAATAAAAACTTGTTTCCTCCACTGCTTATGATTAACCAATCACCAGCGTGTTCTGGCATGAACAGAATTGGACAGTACATTCGACGCGTTTTTCACTTATTTCTCTTTATAAATATTGTTGAGTACTATCCAATCCACTTATCGATTCAAGATGACAAAGCCTCTCGATTCTTTGCAGAGAGCCTTTTCAAGAACTCATATGTAGTGATCATCGTCGTTGCAGACATGGACATTGAAGCCCACCTTGGTCCTAAACCTCTATAACAAGCCATCCACCCACCTTCCTTCACCAAATTCCTCACAGTTTGCCCAAAACTCGCCCCCTTCCGCCCATTCTCATCTCCATCCAAAACCTGTAATCTCGTCTTGATAGTATCCAGAGGCATTGTTATCAAAGCCGAAACCCCACCGGCCATAGCGGCACTTGCTCCCTGCACTGCCATCACGGTTTTTGCATTAGGCCTCAATGCATTTTTCTCCACATTGACCCTGTTTTCTTCCCTTTCGTCATCTTTCTGGCAAATAAAACACCCCATTCCACTCCAAACAAGCCTCTGAGCTACAGAATAGGATGCCCACCACACTGCATTTGATGGTGCATAAGTCAAAATTGATACCCCAAATCCTCTATATAGCCCTCTTATCCCTTCTGTATTTAGAATTTTCTTGAATGCATCAATCCCATTTAAATATTTACATGGAAATGCATTCGAAACCTTGTGATTATCACCACCTTGTACCATGAGCCGCTGGCTAATTACATCAACCGGGGTCCAAACCATTTGCGCGGCCATTGCAGCGCTCAACCCAGCGGCAGCATTTGCTATTGCAGCTGCAGATGGCTCGGGAATTCCGCACCTAGTGGCTGCCGTCCCCACATTACTCTTGGTAACCTCAAGTGCAGCCATATATAATGCTCTGGCCGGGATTGTGCCTGTCAATGAAGTCCCAAATCCTCTATACAATCCGCGAAAACCTTCATGTTTCAAGATCCAAACTGCTGTTTTAATGGAAGAAACTTGGGACTGTGCCACCTGTAGCCGGGTTTTTAGCACCACCGCTGGGTATAAAGAGGCGGAGACACCGGAAAATAAGGCAGCACCGAGGATGAAAAACTTGGATTTATCAAGCATTTGCCAGTCTATATCCTCCGGAACGTCAATTTCTTCAGCCGTTGGTTCTTCCTCTGACGTACCCAAATTCATCTTCCCCACTTTCAACAATTTCAACAGGTTTAAATCCTTCGATTTCCAGTCACAACAAACTCTCCTTCATCTAAACATATATACATAGGTTTCCTATCTATCTGTACAGTAAAATTGGGGATCAAAACGTAAAACCCTAAAAGGCTAAACTTGACAACACCTTATACAATAACAATGGATTTCCTGTATGATTCTACTGCTAATAGATATAAATACAAAATTGAAATCGGAATTTACGGGTTTAGGTAAACGGATCGATGGATGTTTTTTTGCGTTTGTGGAACCAT